GGTGTAAAAGCGTAGGGGGGGGTATAGGTGTAGGTTGGGGGACGAACTGGGAAATGACCCTTCCTTGCTAGAAATACCACATCCTACTTGAGTAAGATCTCTCTTAGTAGCGCGAGATTTGTTGACGGCGACTGCCCAAGGCTGCGCGGCGCTGTGAGTGGCTGAAGGCACGGGGATGCACCCGGGTTGGTGCCCAAAGCAGCATGTCATGAAGGCTGAAGCGGTGAGCTGTGGTCCACTTTAAAAAGTGACGGCTTCTCTGCCTGAGTCTTCGTTCCAACCAGGTGCAGGTGGACCGTGTCTGTGCTGTGGAGCTGGACTTCTGGGGCAGTTGGGCAGCTTGGAGAAAGTAACGTCTGCAGGAGTGGCCTGTGATGTTGGGACTGCGCTTGGCAGTCCTGCAGTGTGGTCGAAAGGTCCTGTGGGCTTGGCTCGACGTCGTACGAGTCAGCCGAGACGAGAGAGACTCAACGCTCCAGGCACCGGGAGGAGACACGGGAAAGATCCGCGGTCTGCTCGCTACATCCCTCTGCTTGCCGTTCTCCTGACATCCTGAATCAAAAATAAGGCAAAATTGATCCAGTGACCTGAACACACTGGGGCCACCTTCCACAGTTGGATGGGTTCGACTCGGACACGAGATGTGCATGGAGAAAGCTGCAAAGTCGCGAGCAGCGCTGATCAGCGAGGTTTGCCGAACTGGCCAAGCCAGTCAAGCTGCACCGTAGCTGCCATGTCCTCCCATGTCCCACATCATCCAAGTTCCATTGCCTCACCTCGCAGGCGCGCCTTGCCAGGGCTGCAGCCACGCTGAAACTTTCGGAGTCGATGGGCAAGGCTGGGCCGCAGTGGGCACTTGCGCCGCTGTTGCGTTCGATATGTAAGCCGAAGTGAAGGCCGGCGTCGACTTCCTGAAGCCGCTGGTGTCTGCCTGGGCAGCGCTGGTGGCCCACCCGAAAGACAAGGGCACGACATGCAAGTTATTGTGCTTGAGACAAGCTTCCTCTGCACTAAGTTCTGCAACGGAGATCGCTTTCTGGAACACCATGTTCCTAATCGTCATTTGCATTGGGTTTCCGGGAATTGCGGTGGAAAGCTTGCAAGGTACATGCCAAACCTGCTGTGCCTCCACCTCCACCATCCTTCAACCCGTTCAGAGTCTTTGAAGCTGATTTTCGGTGGGAAGGTGCTCCGGCAAAGGAAGGCGATGGCCGCGGCTGCACAACGAGTGTACGGCGTGGGCTCGGACACCCTGCAGAAGGTGAGCCGGGATGGGAGTTTGGCGGGAAGGCTGCCGACTTGCGGTTTTGATTGCCTCTGCCATGCGGCTCGATTTGCTTGATTTCTTCGTCACGACTGACAGCTCGTGACCCGGCTTCTCGGTGAGTGGGAGGCCCCGGCACGGTCCAACCGGACAGGTAAAAACTTAGACTACGCACCATCGAGTTCTTTTCAGGTGGGTCTGGGTTCTCAATTTGGCAAATATCCCTGCGCCTGCATACTCTCCGGAATCGAACAGCATCGGGAGGTATTCCAGGCGTGGCAGGAAATCAAGAATGCCGAGTTCGAGAACATCAAGCGACAGCTCCGCAGGAAAGAGGAGGAGCTCAGAGCCGGGCGCGGAGAGTGAGGGAGCGTTGACTGCCTGCTACAAGGACTTCCAGGAGCTTCAATCTCTTTCGTCACGGCTGTATACTTTCTCGAAGCATGCTCCATGGCTGCACTTGCAAGCTGACGGTTGTGACATAGCTCAGCTCAGCACAGAGGCCAGCAGCCGTGTGGAGCACCTCGAATCCGCTCTCCGTGCAGCGGCAGCACGACTGAACTGAGCAGATTTCCTTTCCGATCGTTGGGTCGCGACTTGAGAAGCTTAGAACTTTACCCAGTGGTTGGGCTGCTAGGCCCGCTAGGCATGCTTACTTCTGGACTATCTCCTTGCTCGTTGTTTCGCATGCGAGGAGAGGGCCCTCTTTGCCGGCCAAGACCGTGGCGAGGCCTTGGAGCGCGAGGTGTCTCGGTCCTTGTCCTCCAGCAAAGTCAGCAATCATCAGCACGATGATGATGAGGAGTCGTAGCAGTAGTTATGCGAGTAGCAATATTGCGTCAGGTAACTTGCTGATAGTTTTCATCGCAGCTGCAGTTACAGTAATGGCCCTTATGCGATTGCTAAAGTGAACCCAGGCCGATGAGCTCTGCTTGGCCGCCGAACACAGCCTTGACATCATCACTAGTGACAGTGACTGGTGAACTTAGGCACACTCTCCTCTGTTAATCAGTGCCACGATTATTGTCGTGACTATCACAACAGCCTTGGATAGCTCCTTGCATTACGTCTTGTTCTCCCGATAATTACTGTCAGTGCAGTATTGGTCTCGTCCTCATCCTAGCTATCGTCTTGAATGTCGCTATGGCACTGTGAAGGTCATGACGTGTTCCCTTGTGGTCTCAGAGTCTCCACCGCTGACCTGTAGCCGCTGTCCTCTGGCATCCTGCGCCTCATCACCACCGCCACCATCACGGACCCAGGTCCTCGGTTTGCAGAGCCAGCTGCAGCAAGAGGCAATGATCTCGGAGACCCGCCTCCGGCAGCAGCTGGGCCGAGAGAGGGTGGGGTGCCGGGTGTCTCGGGAGAGAGGGGGTCCCAGGCTCCAACTCCGCCTCTGTTTTCCTTGCACGAGCAGGCCCAAACGATTGCAGTTTTGGTGCCAGTCCTCTTGAACTTTGAACATGTCGTCTGACGACTCCAGGCAAGAGGTCGTTCTGCACAGCAGGCGCAGCGGAGTTGACGACGATTGGAAGTTCAACGGGGGCTACCTAGCTGGGTTGAGTGTAGTTGGCTGGTGGCGACAAAGCAGCTGACTGCCATTTCCGTACAGGGAGCACGGTTGACTGTGAGCGCCAAGGATGCTCCACACTCACAGCTGAAGTCACAGGTCGCACCTCAACGCTGATGCCGTACATCCTCACCACGCCGCTCAGCCGCCCCCCATCTTTCAACCGGAAGGTTCGAAGCCGAGCTGGGCCAAGCAACGGCTCTCGACCGGCGCCTTGCAGCAGAGCTCGGGGCGAGTGAGGAGAGCCAGGCATCGAGATTGCACTGTGCGAATGTCACCGAAGTTATGCGGTGCATTGTTTCACGGCTTGCTTGAGGCATCATGAACCCCCAGAACCCCCATCCCTGTCCCTCTGTGCTGATGTTTCACTCTGCAACGCTTCTACCGCCGTGGCACCTTCAAAGATGCGTTTCCTTCGCTGTTGCTAATGTCTGAGAATGTCCGAACCAACCGCTCGGAGCAAAGCCTAAAGCCGACTACGGCCAATGCCGCAAGCGCGGCTGCACCCTCCTCGGCACTTACAGTACACAAATCACAGTACCTGACAGACTGACAGACTTTCGGGAGATGAGTTTTGGCCGTCGTCAGGTGCGCCTGAGGCAGGAGTTGGGCGCTGAGCGGGCGGAAGCCGCAGAGGCGGACGAGCGTCTCCAGGCTGAGCCAGCTTAGAGACTGTGAATGGGATCATGTTGGTCTTCCGGTAGCTCTGGCATTAGCTGCGACAGGAACTACCGAAAATCACGGTCATGGTCCGGTCATGGTGCCTGGTTGTATTTGCGAGAGCAGAACTGAGCTGAGTCTGAGTGCTGGTACTTGAAGCATGGAAGCAGCCGGGTACACAAACCTCGCCCTGCTTTACGGCGGCAGGCTGAAGTCGAAGTTGCGTTGTCGGAGGTGCGAACGCTTTGCGGTCCTGCTACGGGCAGCTTTCAGCGTGCGATTTTCCCCTGGGGATTCTGCAGCTCGAGTTCCATGTGTCGTTTAGCTGCAGCCTTCGAGCTGCGATAGGAGCTCGAAGAGCCGACCAGGCATCCCAAGCCGTGTAGAGTCCCGAAGTCATGGTAACTTTCTCTGCACCTTGCAGGCTGAGGACTTCGAAGCCACAGCGCACCGGCATCGCGAGGCGCGAGCCCAAACATGACTCCCGGAGCTAGTCACTAGCTGCTAGTGAAAGCCGAATCAAGTTCCCCAGCTACTGATTCACGTGGCTCGTCACATCAATACATGGCTTCGATGGTCTCATTGGGACTCCTCGGGAGCAACATGCCAAGACTCCTTGCAAGACTCCTCTGCAATCCTAAATAGAGTTCGCCACGGTCGTGTATTTGCTTTGATGGATGCCCTGCTGATCTGGGGGGTCGCAATGCCTCTCGCAGCAGTCGCAATGACTGTGCTGTGCGATCCTGGCAAGGAGCGCCGTGCGGCGGAGGAGGAGGAAAAGGCACATCGTGCCGAGGCGCAGCCATTCAAGCAGCAGTACTTGACCTCTTGGGTAGCATCTCGTGCTTAAGATTGCGATTGCCATGGACATGAAGTGAGTAGGGTCGCCCCCTGCAATCGCAGATACTTTTTGCCATGAGACCTCATGCCGCTGCCACTGAAGTGACAGTTGCGGTCAAGTTCTGACGGGGGCTCGGGCTCAGGCTCTGCGTGAGGAATCTGCGCAGCAACTCAACCGCTTGTCCAGCCCTGGAGCTCCATCAACAAGCCCTCCACAAGCAAGAGCAGCCTCGAGCTCCCCATGCGGAGGCTGCGGCACATCGTGAACGGCTTCAAGACCTGGAGGCCCGCCCTGCGTCCACGCGTGATAAGGTCATGGCATTGGTACGCATAAGACTTTTGCCAGGCAGGGAGCACGCATTTCATCTTTACACAGAGCCTGAAGCCAAAGCGAACCAAAACCTCCTCCCGAAAGGCTTCGGCTGCTGGACAGGCACTTGCGGCGTCACGGCTGCTGAGCTGCATAGCCACACACAGTTTCCATGCGCATGAGCAATCTGCTTCGAAGGAAGATCACGTACATGCCGAGCTCAGGCAGCATATGCCGCCGCCAGCACAACCGCCACCAACTCGAACTGAGGCGTTCTCGACGTTTTTTGGATAATGCCGTTTCCAAGGAATCGCCAACTGGTCGGCCAGTTTCGAATGCAGTCGTCAATAGGCAGCTGATTTTCCATCTGACCCATTCTTTGCGGGAGTTAGAGGCTGCGTGTCGTGCTAGAAAAGTTTACGTGTAGAGTGTACAATAGATTCTGTCTCCCAGCCGTGCCAGGCAGCGGGCTTGGCACAGCCTTCAGCGTCCTCGACCTTGCAACGGCCTGAGGTGGATCGGAAGGACAGGGGAAGACGGCTTGAGGCTGAAGGAAGTTCTAGGTGTGCTGGATTCAGGCCTCTTTTGATTGAACCACGGGACATCTCTTTCGGGACATGATAACGTATCAGTCCCGGTACAAATCTCATAGAAGCCCAGGCGTTGACTCACATTTTCCTTGCCGCAAGTTGTCGTCGACTGCTGACGCAGTGAAGTGTAGGCATTTGGAGGTTCATGAGAGAGTGCATCAGGGACGTGTGCAATTTGGGAAAAGATGCTTGTGATGGTGGCATAGCAGTGGCGTGGCGGCGGTTAACTTCCGAATCAAAAGCCTCAGCCAGGAGCCTGCATCGGGAAAGCTTGAGGAGCCCCAGCCATCAGCGACAACACAGCTGCAGCAGCCGCAGCAGCCGCAGGCTCCCTCATTCCTTTGGAGGTAGCTAAGAGCTGACTGCACCAGGCCAGTAGTTCGTTGCCACTCATGTCGGATCTCGCACGTGGTCCGATGACCTTTCTTCGGGGCTAGGACGGCTAGGACTCCAAGGCGAAACTCTCGGATCTCAAGTCCCTAGCTTCAACTTGCAGGAACAGCCGCCGCCAGCAGAAGCAATTGTGCAGCATCAGCAGGAGCCACATTTGCAAACAGGCATGTCTTTCACTGCCCCCTGTCGAGACTCACCGTCCATACACCTTGGAGATCCTTGGGGCACAAGGACAGCAAGCCGCCTGGGGATGAAGCGGCTTCTGCAGGTGCTGATCAGGCAGAGGCTGAATCTGGGGTGCGTACCACGACTCGGTTGAAGAGAGGAGAGAGAGTCTGCAATCGTGCAGAGATAGAGGCAACAAGAGGCCTTGTAGATTCTCAAAAAAGTCTCTGAAGCAGTCTTCTGTGAGGAAGATGGCTACACGAAGGAGGAATGGATGGACTTCTTCGTTGAGGACGCCTCGTGTGGGTTTGGACGGCCTTAACACCAGTAACCACTGTTCCAGCGTTGCAGGAAGGCCTGGGTTCGGATCAGCTGGCAGTACTGGACCAGATCTTCCAGAAGCTCGACACATCAGGCGGGTGACGGCAACGGTAGAAAGCACATGTTCCAATTACTTGACTGGTATTTGCAGTCCCCTGTGGAGGAGATGGTGTCCTTTCTGCTGTACCCGGGCAGAGAAGAGTTTTGCAACTTCAAGCCTTTGTATTTCACATTATTTCATATGGGCATTGATCTAAAGGTCCTTGTGGCTGTATTTATACAAAACGACCACTGGCATAACATAACATGCCATCGCGAAAGTTCCGCGATGGGTCTGCTAAAGAAAATTATTTTTCTGCGAAAGTTGTTGTGTTAGCCTATTTGCCCGCTATTGCTCCTACTACTACTACTACTACCACCACAACCACCACGACGACTACTACTACTACTACTACTACTACTACTACTTCCACTACTACGTTGGAAGCAAGATCTCTTGGGGACGTCTGTTGTTTGTGGCTCCGTTCTCCTCTGGACTTTCGGTTTGAGGCTGTTTAACACGACATTTCTGTTTCAAAACTGTTTCAGACGAATCACGCAGGCTCCAGGCAGATGCCAAAATGCGGTATGGCTAGTGCGTGTAGCGCGAAAGATCCGTTAAAGTTCCGCGAAAGTCGCGTGAAAGTCGAGGTTGCCACATCAAGGCAACTGCCCATTGCTATTTCCACGGCTACTGCTGGCACATAGCACGACTAGCGCTAGCATTCACAGTCGCACTAGCACTAGTACTACAGCAGGAAGCTTGGACCTTCTGGGCACGTTTCATGCCTCAACCTACGCCCGCACCTTACACGCCGAACGTTGAACGCTAAATCCTATAGTATTCAAACCCCCCCAAACGCCTATACTAGAACCCTGAAAGAGTCTTATAGATCCTCTACAGAGCCCTCGTAGAAGTCTGGTATATGTATCAATATATACTTGAATATGTATCCGCGAAGGGCGCGCAAAAGTCAGGGCGAAAGTTACGCTAAAGAAAATTATATTTTCGTGAAGAAGGTCATTTCGGGGATAGTTAATTTAGATCAACGCCCATATGTTTAAACATATGGATATTCCCGCACTTGTTAGCTGCATAAACCAAAGCATCGTACACCTAGGACGAGCTGAGCGCGGCTCTAAACGATCGATCGCTGAAGATGTCTGAAGAGACGCGGCAAGCCCTTGTAGACTTCATGTACGACGTGGCTTGACATGGAAGGGAACATATGGAACATGCTGCTTGGCGTACCGGACGGCTACGAGCTCAGCATTGTGGCAAGGATCGGCAGTCCTTCGGTGGACCCCGGCAGTTGAACCGAAGAGCGTGCCACAGAAGCACCATGGACCGCCAGAGACTGTTGGGACTTAAGACCTGGATCCGAGAAGGCTACCGGGCGGCCGATCTGGTTCGGATCTGAGGAAAGCGTGGCTGGAGTCTGGAGATGTGCAGACGTGGTCTCATGGTTGCCTCGGAAAGTCGATCACTGGGTGAATGCGTCGCTTCGAGGTCACCCCCGCGGACCACTTCATTACATAATCGTCAAGGTGCTGGATAAGAGTTTAGATGTGTTCCATATCACGGGAGCACGCGTGGATATGCTCTGAACTGGTGCATGTGCGGCTTTGGACGGAACGTCCGAACCTCACAACCGTGGAGCTCTCTGTCTCTCGATCTCGCTCTCTCTCTCTCTCTCCCTCCCTCTCCCTCTATGTCTCTCTCGCTCTCGCTCTCTCTCTCTCTGTCTCGCATAGTCGGTCCCAGAGCAGGTGCCGGTCTCACGTGCAGAGCCTCGAAGACAGGCCATCAGCCTCATCGTTTGCAGCGTTGCTCCAAAGAGGGCAGAACGCCAGCAGATGTTTGCTACAAAGAACCGTGAATAGTAGTACGTGTGTTCAAAGATCACAGCCAACCTTGCAGCACCGGCAACGGGATCCTCTTTCTTGTGCGCCACATGTTGCACGTGCAGTCTCGCCCGCCGGAGGAGCCTCCAAATAAATCGAGCGCTGAGGTTGGTCTTCCATCCCAATGGAAGCAAGGATGCCAGCCTTGATCTCAGCCGTCACGACGAGGAGCTCTTTCAAACACCCGACCAAAGCGCTCGACATCACTTACAAGAGGAGGCACTTTCCCTATCGTGCGCAATGCATTGCGATTCCGAGAAACCAAGTGAGTAGAACCTGACAAGCACAATCGCCTTACGCATTGGGTCCTGTGCTGAATCCAGCATGTGGTGTTCAGCAGTTGCCAGTCCTCATGTCATGATGTGAATACTAGATAAACAGATTCGTCTCCAAGAATGAAGCGTACTGAGCTCTGCTACAAGCTCGGCAAGCTAATCTCAGAACCCAGGTGATGGCTACTCCTCCATCGCTCTTCGAATTCCGGAGGGCATGTCTGTTTCAAGGGCTGGGGGGCCAAGCTGCTGTTATGCCATGAACCGGACAGGAGCACGGACAACTACTGGGGTCACTTTAGAATGCGATGGCAGTCGCCTTCCTTCTGATGCTTATATGCATATATACATATGTTATATACTTTTATGTACTGCCTGCAAAAGTGAAATGAGTTGAGGACAGTGGCCACGGAAAGCAGGACAGGAAGCAAGCTCTGGTAGGTTCTCTTGTGCTGGTCAGGTGCTGTATGTGAACCAGGATCACTTCGGTCCCAACATTGTGAAGCAGGTTACGAGCTTTGCTCAGGGCGTGTCGATTTTGTGTTTCTTGCATTGGGCTTGGTGACCGGTGTTGCGGCCGGGTCGGAAATCAACTATCGCTGGTGGCTAGTCAAGTCTAGGATCATTTTGCTGCGAAGATTTTAAGCCGGCGGGCTGAATTGATTTTCGTGTGAAGTTCGTCGTCGTGGAAGCGGGCACCACGGTCATGTAGAGGGCGCGTCGGGCATTCCTAAGCCCATAAATGAACCACTTGATTCAGGCCGTGGAGGGCTACACCAACGCCGCGAGAGTCGGGGCCCCAGAACACCCACGGTTGGTCGCCCAAAGCCGCCGTAGAACGATGTGGTCGTGAACAGCTTTCATTCCCGGCTCAGACCTCGACCTTCATGTGTGTTCCTGTGCAAAGATGTGCAAAGTGCATTCCCAGATTTCGCGGCCTTCAGCCCCGCTACGCGGAACAGCCGCGGACATCATCGTCGTGGGCGTGTGGGGGCTCTCGGGTGGTCCGAGTTCAGACAATGAGGGATGATCGAAAGGCACAGCACATGTTGTCAATTACGGTTCCTCAAGCATGAAATGAGGCGCGAGCTCTACCAACACGGATGGGCTGCGGACCCCATGCTTCAGTCCAAGCCTTGGGTGGGCTTCTGGTCACTCACAGGCAGAAAGCATGTGTGAGCATGTCGGCAGATCCCAAGAAGAGGCGACATTTTCAGCCCGGTCTAGCCTTTCTGCAGGAAGGTTTTGCTGATCGGCGATGCCCCTGCTGCGGAGATCAATTTCGAGCTCCCCGGACATGATCTTGTGAATCGAACGTTTGAGACCTTTGAGCTCGAAGTGTGACAGTACTGCGGGCCCTTACTCGTGGCTCCTAAACTCGTAAATCACCAAGGATTTGCCGAACAGATTCGTTCGGTCGTTTACGTGCAGTCTCTGCTAGAGAAACCCAGGCTCCTCAAGGAACAGCGGGAGAGGCGCCTTCAGCAAGAAAGGCAGAGGCGAGGACGTCTTGTGCGATTGTTTCCACAGGATCAGCGGCAGCATACGTTTTTTGATAGTTCTGCACGGGCTGCTTTCTGCAAACGAGGGTGGTCAGCACCCAACTCGCCCCGCCCCGCCCTCCCCTCTGCCTGCACACAGCGGTGGGGAGACACAAAAATAGTACCAAATGCAGAACTCTCGTAGTTTTTCCGTATCATTCGGCGATCTCTTCGTGGCAGCAGCCGAGAGACTCGGGGACCGGAAGGTCAGCACAAGGACAGTTGATGTTTCAGATTTGCCGGCAAGCGGCAAGAGCTCGGTGGGCAGCCAAATTCGGCCGGCCGGTCCGGTGCACAGCAACGCACGGCCACGCGAAAAGTTGTGGCAGCTGAGGAACAGGGTACAGCACGACCCCACCTGAATGTGCCTTTGAGGAGTGGGCTTCTGACAGTTACAATGCAGCCCATTTGCTGACACAGTCTCTCGCGTATGTCGCAACAAAGAGCTACGGCTGTTGCAGGGCTGTCCATCGAACTGACATACTGCATGCGGAGCCGGGACATTTACCCTGACATGTGAATCCTTTTGCATGCATGAGGCACGCGTCTCGGCTGTTGCACTGTGGCGAAGACCTGTCTTCAACCTGGGAGCTTCTGATCTTTTTCCAACTCTGCGCAGGTGCCGGCAGGAGGCGGAAGCAAGGTCGGGGGCTTCAAACGTTTCGTCGCACTGAACATCGCAGATGGTTTTGCAATGACTCTGCAGAAGCGTGCTTCCCCAAATCTTGAGTTTTCGTCCGACTCTGGATTCGTTTTGAACGGCAGTGAAGAGGAATCTTGCGGTGGAAACTGTGCCTCCCTCGTTCCCTCCCTCTCCCTGTCCCCTTCCTCTCCCTCTCCCTCTCCCTCTCCATCTCTCTGACTCTCTCTCGCTCTCTCTCTCCGTCTCTCTCCTCTCTCTCTCCCTCTGTGTCTCCCCCTGTCTCTCTCTGTCTCTCAACATTCCTAAGGCGGCAGGCGCTAGCCGACGAGCAGGAGGCTCGCCCCATGCAGTCAGCCAGTCCGAAATTGTGGGTCGGGCTCCAATTCACTAGAATATTCGGAGCATGCGAGGTGTACACTCGTACATGACATGATGGGGCCCATGTTCTTTGCCTTCTCAGTTTCTGTTGTCTGATTCGGGCCGATCTGGGGAAGCTCCGAGGTGGCCGAGGCGGCGGCGCGCCGCGCGGCCGCGGAGGAGGCTGAGGCTTTGGCCAAGGCGCCGCGGATCCGACGGCGGTTTCGAAAGCAGCTTTGCCCAAGGTTTCTGTTTGGGCTCTGAGGATGTGGAAGGATGTGGTGCAGAGCAAACAAAGAGTCGCGACAAGTGCGGTGATGCGGTAGCCGAAGTGAGGTCATGGAGCTCCCTGAGCATCAAGTGCAATCCGCGAGCCATGCTTAGGACCTACTCGTAGCCTGAAAGCAGTGCTTTGCAGGTTGTCAGTGCGATGAACGAGCCCGTCAGCCCCGACCAGGCCGTCTTGAGTGGGAGGGCGCTCCGTCGTCCTAAGCTTCAAGAGCATCTTCTTGTCCAGAAATTGCACTTGTTGGGGCACTTTGTGACATGTCTTTTCGCAGCTTGTCGATCGCAGATGCTTTTCGAAGTACTATCCAACAGCTATATTCCCGCCCTGCTTCGGCGTTGTTTGGGCACACTTCGCTTCTCGGCGAAGGACCGTGCTAAATCATTGCACAAACTCTTGTCACAGCTTGAACGTTTGTGATAGCCTGCCGGTCCAAGTGATGCTCAATGGTGCAAGTGGACCCATCCACTTTTCTATGATCTATCCCTGTCTTACACCAAGATTTGACTGATTGACTTATCTGGAGATGAGATGTCTCAGGGCAGGCCTAAAACGTTGATTCTCCAGGCACTTAAGGACCTGCTTCCTGCATCATTTGAACCCGGCTCGAAAGGCAAGGCTCGATCTTGTGCAAAGTGGATCATCGCTAGCCTCTCGCTCTTGCTGGCGTTCGGCTCAAGTCATTGCATGAACCCAGGCATTTTGCCTGTCTTGTTCTCACCTTTGCCAGGCCCAGGTGTGTCAGACATGTCCGACTCTGCCGCTGCTACTGGCTGGGAGGCAAACAGCCCATGGAAGACAGTGGTTTTCTCCCCCGAAGGAGACGATCCCGCAGGGTCAGACGAGGGCAACTATCAGACTCTGGTGCCAGCTCATCTGCTGACCGGCATCGACAGCGATGAGTGCAAGACCCTGGTGCCACTGCCAGTGGCTTTGGAGTTCAGCCTCTCAGCCGCACTGGCCTCTACGTGACCTTGCAAAGTTGTCTAGCCCCTGGTGTGGATCGAGACTGACTGCTTAGCTGAGCTAGGGATCCACGAACCTCCTCAACCAGTCCTGCCATGCATTGAAGTATAAGAGTTCCGATTTCGCAGCAGCAACGTGTGGGTACCCTCCGTCACGCTGTTTCCTTCCATGCTTGTGCCAAACATCGCGCGGATTCTGTTGCCCCATTGCCTGCCAACTAGAGGTGGCCGCTAGCGGCCCGCTCGACTCACTGCTTGAGCTTGACACTCCATGTTGCTGATTCTATTTGATGCTACTTTCTGTGATGCGCCCTGCAAGTGATTTGCGCTACGGCCCTAGGTTCTGATCTCAGCCCTCCACGGGAAGGTGCTGCCGGCGAATCCCTTTCGGCGCAGGACTTTCCAGAAGCGGTGCAGGAGGACTGGGGCCTTGATGTGTTCCAGGTCCCAGGTCTCTCGTTGTCCCATTCTTACCACTTCGTGCTCGGATGTGGCAAGCATGCATTGCTTAATGGCGCAGCACCGTGAGAATGTTGTAAGATGGACGATTTTGGGACCAGGAGGTCACCTTCGGCCAGCCAGTTTGGCTCCATGTCTATGATCTGACGGACTCATTCCAACTCCCAGTTCTCAATTCCGCGCTTCGACGCGCAGGCCGGGTATGCATATGTACCATCAGGCAGTGCAGATTCTTTGTGTTCGAGTACAAGTAGGAGGCTTGTCTGCTTGCACACATTTCCTTCTGCTCGCGTCTGCTGATCCTACCTGGTTGAGTTGTGACTGTTAAGAATGAGAGCGAATTAGCAAGAACACGTTCTTGGAACAACCGGCTGGTCGCATGCCCTTTTTGCCGAAAAGGCAGGCCCTCGAATCCAAAAGCCTAGCTCCGGTTCCAACCCTTCAGGCGCTGGTCTTTTCCATGCAGGCATCGAGGCAACGTCGCAGGGTGCGATTTCGGGAGTCAGGTCGGTTAACAGTCTCGGGTGTTTGCAGTGCCATAGCCTGAATCAGCGCAAGGGACCACAGCACGCAGAGCGAGCGGTGGAAGACGGTTCTATGTTCCTATCTTCTCCCCTCATGGAAGGTCCATGGCTATGAGTACAGCTTCGGACTCCGTCAGAGGGGCAGTGGGGTCTACACTTCAGTGCCGAAAGAGAACACGGCACATGCGCAGCTGGGCAGACGATTCAATCAGCAGAAGCCATAACTCTGCAACGTGGTCATGTCAAGTCACATCACGCACCTGTTATTGTCTGTTTAAGCATCTTGAAATTGCGTGTCAAGTTCTGACGCCCAGAAATCCTGCCAGAATCCAGCATAACTATATTAACTGACGCACCAACTGCATCATTGTTGAGGAAGGGAGTCGTCGTAATTTCGAGTGTTTCTGCAGGCCTAGAACATGTGTGTGAATTCAACCAAGCTTCTTAGCCAGTTCTGTACAAAAGCTGGATCTAGTGTCGGTCTGCGCACGAGGCTGTCAGTTCATGCATAAGCTTAGCCACACCCTGGCAGTTGAATCGAATGACTCCAATATCTTGTAGTGCTGGGATGCAAGCGACGCTTGAACGTCCCTGGCGAGCCACTGATTGTACGGTTCTAGGCATCTTGAGAATCCAACAGGCGAAGGCTTTTGGTTGCTGGATTGCGTTTGCCTTCTTGTGATCCACTTGGATCACTTGTTGCCCGGAGAACGAAGAAAACGCACATGGACCTCGAAATTGCAGTGGTCAGCGTAGGAACACGGAAGGTCCCCCAACTGCACCGAAACGGAGATCTACTGCTAAAATCATGTCTGGGTCCAGGTATCGTGAGTCGTTTCTGTTGGGCAACACTGCGGTGGACCGCAAAGAGCTGAAGAAGATCATCAAAGAACTCAAAAAGGCCCGACACAGCAGCATGCATTTATTGCTGTTTGCTGTTGCCGCGAGATTCCCAAGCCAGAGGGCAAGGATCATGCAATCGCAAAAGCTTTCACTGTCGAAAAGCACGGAGAACAGGAATGGCCTGGAAGGAGCTATGGACCGCTCACTCGGAGCCTTTGCTAGGACTACTTGTGGGATGCATTGGGTGAGTTGGGTGATGCCCTGGTTTTCTGCGCGCTCGACGGATCAGAAGGGGTTGTAAAGGGTTTGCTTTTTCTGTGGTCTGCATCGGCTGCGGCCGAGCTCAGGAACTGCATCCACTTCTCTGCAGCCTTGAGTGAGCAACCCGACTTGAGTAAGCGAGTGTGGATGCCTTGCCTCGATATTATCGAGCATGCTGCGAGCGATAAATCTTCGGTGCTGTCTAGAACCCAGCCGACGCGTGCACAAGGGTTCGGTCAAGGGAAACATTCTCGATGAGATCTTCGGGTCCACGAGAACTGGTATTTATTCGGCAGCTGGGTTGTAGTGTAGTCCGTTCACCCGCCTTCGTCCTCTAGAGCTTTTCAGTCTTTGCCGGCTCTAGAGCTTTGTCCTCGCAGCAAAGGCGGCTGGGGGTCGGCGCCGTGCCCGGCTGGGTCTACGGCTTCGCGGAGTCGCTTCGCTCCATCGCAGGGTCCCAAGACAAGCCGACGGCGAATAGGCGCAGATGGCGCAGGCACACCCCGTGAACTGACAGGCTGTAGACAAATCGGCAACCCTGCCTGTATTGAGCTGTGAAGCGAGCACTATTCGTAGTATTTTCGGTTGATGGCAATGTGAGCTCAATAATATTGCTTGCCCAAATCCTTTCCGAGCTTCGGGCTGCATACGGGGCTCGCAAGCCTAGAGCTAGGTTGAGCCTGCCCCGATTGGAATTGGCCCTGTGATCTCAGGTGAATCGCCTCGCTGACTGCTCGCAGTCTGTCGCCCGCACGGTGGCCCAGAGTTCAGAGGTTGAGAGCCACTGGAGAGAAAGCGACTCCTTTTCCAGAGCCCTCTGTGAGGTATCGCGGATGAGACTGACTGCGCCGGCATGGTTCAAATCCTGGATGCACATGAGGCTGCACAAGAACATGGCTGGAATGGTTTCTTTGTGGGTAGTGTGGTTGTGCTGTTGCAAAAGTTTCGATTTTGCAGCTTGACTCGAAACAAGCACTATTGCCCCATCTCAGCTTCAAAAGCAACAGCCCTAGCAACCCAGTGGTCAAAACCTGGCACACGACGTGCGCAGGAAGTCCATGCCTTGGACCTCAAGCGCGGATCAGGTTCCACTATGCGCCCGGGCCCGGGACATCTCTGCGCCGGGTTTAGTAAACTAAGCTTCCGAATCGCTGTGTGCGTGCTATGCTCCTGTCCATAATTACTATAGCAATTTATGCAGTGCTGCTCGGCGTGCCGTAAGATTGATGCGGGCACACCTGGCTAAGGTCTGTGATACCAGTAGGCCTCCGCTTGGAGACGAATCGCAGAGCTGCCGGTATGGTCAGCTGAGCATGCCCAAGTCGAGATCGTAAGTTAGTGCAAAGAACCGCAGGAGCATGTCGGCTCAACGGCCATTCCATCTTGACAGCTCTGCTTGGAATTCGAGCACGGAGCACTCCAAGCTCTCCCTGCTCCTGGAATCAGGTTGTGCAGCTGCAGAGGTTCTTTTCTGGCATCAAAGTGGTTTCCACTTCTCTCCCGCAGATGCTTCATGCGACTGACTTCGTTACTGGTGTAGAGAACATAATTCAGATAGTGAGTTAGACGTAGCATACAGTCCGTCCCCAGACTCCGATGGCCTGGAAGGTTACTTCGGACTCCAAGCATTCGAGGGATTCGAAGTTCAGGAACTCACGTCCCTCCGTCTGGGTTGAAGTGCCAGAGCCTTGCTGCCTGAAATTCGTCAAGCTGCACACACATGACAGGCTGCATGATCTCCCGAATTTGTAACCGATGCTTGATATCTCGTGTTGGCTGGAGCTTCCCGATAGGTGGCTGGCTCTGTGCTACTGTAGGGATAGTCCGACGAGTGCGACCTGGAGTGGCCTCCGGTCAACCCGTCATGACCTGCATCGGGAGAAATTGGAGCCTCCGCGACATGGCCTCTCTGAAAAAATGCGCGTCAAAAGTCCAAGGGGCAGCCTGGTGGATGCCTCTGGCCTCCGAGCTGTTTCTCTGTTACGCTCCGGTGCAGGTCATGATGCAAGGTGCCGTGAAGGCTGCCCAGGCAAGAGAAGCTGCAACCATGCCGAGAAGGCATTGTGTTCAGTCGTCTACAGTACGGCTCAAGTCATGCTGCAGTCAGCCACGGCGTCAAGGCCGTTTCCCTGGCCTCATAACTTCAATCTTTAAGTCACTCCAGCCATCCCATGCCCGCAAATCCAGTGGCAGGAATGTGCAGAGAAGGCTGCGACGAAGGTTGAAAGTCGGGCCCTGTGCAAGAAAGGGGCTTGCGAGCGCAGGACGCCGTAGCACTGCTGGTGGGAAGAAACCACGCCTCAGGTCCAGAAGAAAAGGCCGCCCGCGAGAAGAAGGAACAGGCGGAGAGAGCCCTGAAGCTGAAAGACCCCAGAACTCGAGCATTCTCGCAGTGTTTCTTTACCGATTTTGCGCTTCGTTCCGCCGGACCACCAACAGGTTACTACTAGAGAGGCGGCAAGATCGGCTTGACCTGAAAGCGCCGGTGGCGGATTCAACACTTGCTTAATGAATCCCTTTGGAAATAGTTGCCGGTGCAACACTCGGCCTGAGCAAGCAGATGTGTACGAGAGCACTGGTGAGCTGGGAAGTAAAGAAGGCGTATGCGTGGCTGCTGGAGTATCAGCGCCAGCAAGCCGAGGACCCAATCTCCTGACCGGGCATCCGGTTTTTACGAGAGGGTTGAAGAGGCATGCAGCAGACCCGTATGGTGCCTGGCAATGCGTTGACAGCAAGCCGACCCTTTGGCATGGCGAGGAGAAAGCAGAAGCCGATCGGTTGGTCACTCAAAGCAGCATATTGCCCTAGAAGTCCTTTCCATTCTTGACACGCCTTCAATGGTTGTTGTGGTCTTTGAAAGCCTGAGACACACCTTTCCCCTGCAAGCCCGGTCCCTTTCCCAGCCTGTGGGATGAGGCTTCGGCAGGAGCGAGAGCGGGCAGAGAAAGAAGTGAAGATGGAGGCATGGCAATATTAACAGTGACCGCAGGAACTGTTTTTTGTTGGCGAAGATACCCTGCGCACAAATGGCCGCGGATCCTTGTGGCAAGAGGGTCGTTCGAATTTTGCAGAGTCGTCGGGCTTTCTGTGGACTCGGCACCGTGTCAGCTACTCGGGGTCAGCTGGGTGGCTCAGCAAGTGATCATCCCTTTAAACTTTGCATTGCCAGGAGTGGCTAGTGGTTTTCCGGCTGTGTGTCTGTGTGAATCAGTGATTGTTCGTGCGTGCGTTCATGCGTGCGTGCGTTCGTGCGTGTGTGCATGCGTGTGTGTGTGTGTTGTGTGTGTGTGTGTGTTTGTGCGTCTTTGCTGTTTGTGCGCACTATGCTCCTTGGATCCGCGGGTTGACTGCATGGGCATCTGCCAAGCTGCCCGAATGGTAAGCTCTAGCTGCTGTCAGTTCTTTTGTTTCTGCGCTGCCGACATGTCTGCCTTGAGGCAGATAGAAGGCGAAAAGCTGAAGAGGCTGGGGACGGATTTGCCCCAGGACCAGACCAGAGCCAGATCTTGCATTGGGGTGATGCAACAACAATTTGTTGTCGCCTCAGCCGGCATGGTCGTATGAGAGGCTTAGCGAACTGTCTAGTATTCGAGCCGCAGGAGGCTGCAATGCTATTCCTTTCAGACCGGTACACATATATGTATGTTGCATATGTTATGTACGTATGTATGTATGTATGTATGTATGTATGTATGTATGTATGTATGTGTGTGTATATATGTGTGTATGTACATCTTTTATGTATGTATGTGTGTATGTATGTAACTATGTATCTATGTATCTATGTATCTATGTATCTATGTATCTATGTATCTATGTCTATGTCTATATGTATGTATGTATGTATGTATGTATGTATGTATGTATGTATGTATGTATGTGTATGCGTGTATGTGTGTACGTGTGTATGTGTATG